CCCAGATTATGATCATTTGCCCCTTATAGCCAAAGTTGAAGTTTTTGAGTACGCCCTGCAGAATACAGAAGGAAATGACCTCGCAAGGGTAATCTGTTGTTACCATTTTTAGGGGAAGAGGAAGGGATAGGGGGAGAGTTTGAATATTTGGTCTGAAAGCTATAACCAATGATTATGAGCTTATAATGTCCTCTTTGGATTTTGGTAGGTTCTCTGGTTGAAGAGCCGCACTTCTGAGGTTTGGCTGGAGAGGCGGACTAATTACACTCGGAGCTTGGCAGTCATGAGCATGGTATATGCTTTCTCGCATCTCATTTGAAGAAAAGAGGAAGATGTCTCCTCTCTTTCTTCTGATTCTGCAAGAACTGTAATTAGTTGCAAAAGAAAATATAAATATTATCTTTAGAATATCCACACTAAGCACTTAGACATGTGTTGTGATATAAAATTGGGAAAATTGTCAAAAAGGTCCTAAACCTATTGTACTTTTGCCAATTCAGTCCTAAATCTTTTAAGTTTGCCAATTCAGTCCTAAACCTTTTCACTTCTCGCCAATTCAGTCCATTTGGCTGGCCGGCGCTGACGTGGCAATTTTTAAATATTTTTTTTCGAATTTTTAAATATTTTTAAATATTTATTTTCTCTTTTTTTTTCTGCCTTTCTCTTCTGGTCGGTCCGGCGACCGGCCAGAGGCGCGGGCTGGTGAGGTTGACCTCGTCGGCCTTTGGCAAAGCTCGTCCCCGCCGGCCACTGGCGAGGGTGAGCCTCGCCTGCCGCTGCGAGGCCGGCCTCGCCATGGCTGGGCGAGGCCGGCCTCGCCATACCCAGCGACGGCGAGGTCGGCCTCGCCTTGGCTGGGCGAGGCTCGCCCTTGCCGGTGGCTGGCGGGGGCGAGCTTCGCCAGAGGGAGGCGCCTCTGGCCGGTCGCTGGTCGCCGGTCGCCGAACCAGCCAGAGGGAAAAGGTAGAAAAAAAAAGAGAAAAAATATTAAAAAATTCGAAAAAATATTTAAAAATTGCCACGTTAGTGCCGGCTGGCGGCCACATCAGTGCCGGCCAGCCAAATGGACTGAATTGGCAAGAAGTGAAAAGGTTTAGGACTGAATTGGCAAAAGTGCAATAGGTTTAGGACTTTTTTGACAATTTTCCCTATAAAATTAGATGTGCTTACTGTGCAAAGAGTGTGATATTAATATTTGATCCATTTATCCTTGTTTTTTCTATTTAACTTCCTTATTTCAAATAGTCTGGCCCTCATCATATGATTGGTGTCTAACAAGAAGATAATAACATGTGATTAAATGGACAAGAATCATTGGGTTCTCAAAAGTAGGCGTACATAAACAGGTTTGAATATCTGGCCAAAAACAACTGATTTTGAATGGCATCGTATGTGAAACCTTCAGATTCAGCACATCAGTGGAAAAACAATTTGCGGTTACATTTTTTTACTTGATAGGACTTGAATTTGCAGAACTTTGTGTTAGATTTACTAATTTTTGGATTTAATTTCAGGTGGGCTACCTTCTTGGCTTAGGTGATCGCCATCCAAGCAACCTTATGTTGCACCGTTACAGGTAAATCATGTGAAGCAAGGAAGAAGGTTGGATTTTAGTTTCAAAGTATCATGTATGTCTCTTATGTCGCAGTGGAAAGATCTTACACATTGATTTTGGGGACTGCTTTGAAGCTTCGATGCACCGAGAAAAATTTCCAGAAAAGGTACCGTCCAGAATGTTCTCTTTGTGTCACGCTCTAAGCTAACAAACAAAGCATGATGATGTTGGTTCTGCACATGAATTAAGTCAATTGGGCACTTAATTAAAGTATATTAAGTGATCCAGGTACCTTTCCGCTTGACTAGAATGCTTGTGAAAGCAATGGAGGTCAGTGGCATTGAGGGGAACTTCCGTTCAACTTGCGAAAATGTGATGCAAGTGCTTCGAACGAATAGGGACAGTGTAATGGCAATGATGGAGGTATATCTTTTAGAATGGTTCTTTTATTTTGTTACGTCTTGACTTTGGACATGAATTGATGGAACGCATCATTTAAGGCATAGTTGTTTGTATGTAGTGAACTATGTATCTAAATATTTTGCATGGTGGGAGGGACAGACGATTAATAATTTGTGTACTAGGCATTTTTGGGCCCTTCCTTTCTTTTTTCTTTTTAACAAATAGCCATGTGCCTTGAAGTTTGCAATTGCACTGATGTAAAGTGCTGCTAATTGTGCTCATGCATAGATGATAGAACTTCTTCTAAGATCATATGGATGATACGACTATTGAAGGAAATTGATTCCTGTTTCATCTGTTTTCAGGCTTTTGTACATGATCCACTTATTAATTGGCGTCTTTTTCCCCAAGTATCGATGTTTGCTAATACACATGCCCCGCCGGTTGTGAATGCTGAAGAATCTTCTCAAAATAGAGAGCTTGTTCAGCCACAGCGTGGTGCCAGAGAAAGGGAGCTTCTTCAGGTAGACAAATTCAGAAGTGGAAGAGCTTGAAAACTACCATGATCTAAGTGATGCTTACATTTTGATATGTTTTTGTATAGGCCGTTAATCAACTTGGTGATGCTAATGAGGTGCTGAATGAACGTGCTGTGATGGTCATGGCTCGGATGAGTCATAAGCTTACTGGCCGTGACTTTTCCAGCTCTCCAGTATCAAGCAGCTCTAACCAACCTTCCATGGATCACAGCAATTTATTTTCAGGGGATTCTCGTGAAGATCATGGTTTATCTGTTAAACTTCAAGTTCAAAAGTTGATTATTCAAGCTACATCTCATGAAAATTTATGCCAGAACTATGTTGGGTATGGTGCTGTAATTTCACTTTGTTGGTTTGTGCTGATTCTGTAGCTGTCTTACATGCATGTGCTTTTTGATTCCAAATGTCTCGAGGCTTGTCTTGATTAGTATTAGGAGCCGAAATGGCTGGCTTGGATGAGGATGTTGGTCTAATTTTCCCTAGTGTATTTAGATTCTTCTGCACTGCACGAAGCTAATCTTCTAACTATACTTGCATTCCAGTTATAGATTTAAACCTCAGCAAATTGAAGATGATCTGTGGGAAATGGGTAGCTAGTCCAATTGTAGGTTTGGTGGTTGGGTTGACTGTATTTTGGCATTGTATATTTTGTCGTTTTCAAATTTGTTTTTGAGTTTACAAGGTCATTGCTTCTGCAAAAGATTTTGGGAAGTTATACAAATTAGGAAATTCATTTTCCTGGGGTTTGAATTTAGAATTGTTTAGATCTGTCGACCACAAACCAAGCCTTGTTCCACTAAGTGGGATAGGCTGAATGAATTCTATTACTCCATTGAGCTTTGATGCTTCATTAGATCCGCTGGAAGTTCTAAATACTCCATGTCTTTCTTTGAAGACTTTTTCCACATATTCTAGGTCCTTTCCTTCCCCTTCAAACCCATGTGTCCATCCCTTGCTCAAGTCTCCTCACTGGGAATTCGGAGGTCTTTGTTCAGCATGGTCAAACCATCTCAAATGACCTCCTCTTATCTTAATCTCGATTTCTATCAAGGGATGACAAAAATCATACACTTATCCTGTTGGCCTGAATTTTAATATTTTCATATTCATGTGTTATATCTCATTCTAAAATCCATGTCTTGTGTTTCTCAACTGTTCTAAGAGCAAGGCTATTCCCATGTTTTAGTTCTGCCATATCTGTACTTGTTAAGCAATGATTGGGTGGTCTCAAGGAATGCTCATCTATAGGAACCCTGATATTTTCTTGGTTTGCACCAATAAAAGAGTCCAAAATGAACTCCAATTGCAGAGCAGAGGCTTAGAGGGGCTGCTTGATTGGTTGTATGTTTTAGGAGTTGGCATAACATCTTTGGGACCATATGATCCATCTTTGGCTGTGAAATAGTCCTCCGTTTTTTTTTTGTTACAGCTGTTATTTAGTCTAATTTTCTGAAATCTGCTCGTTACAGGTGGTGTCCTTTCTGGTGAGCTGAAGATAATCATATGTTGTATATATCTTGTGCATAGCTGGGATTTGTCTTGGTACCTCAGAGGTAGCATAATGTATTGTATGGTTTATTGTAGTCTTTGTACAGAAACTTGTGATGTAAAGATGCAATCTGAATTAATAGAGGACTGGGTAGTTGTGCATAGGACCAGCAATATTTATTGTCAAGAAGCAACTTGTAAAGCGTTGATGTGATGACAACGGACAATGGAGATCACGAAGGCAACGGCCACAACTTATCTGGGCTGACGAGGGCATTTGTCGATAGACACGGGCTATCCTAGATTATAGACTAATTGTCTAGATGCCAAGCTTTCCCATTTGGGATGGAATGAAGCCATCAGTAAAAGTCCAGGTTGATATGTACATGGAATCTAAACGTACTATATCATTCACAATTAAGAGGAACAGAGAACAAGTTCGGATGGGGAAATTTTCCTTGCTTAGCTTTGGTGATGAGTACAGAGTCTAGTTGCGTCAGCATTTTCTTAATAGTATGGACCATTGGATGTTGGGGTTTTACTTTTGGGTTTCAGTTTTGCTGTGTTGGTGTCATCATTGTTGACGTTTTATGCAAGAGAGTGATGCCGAGCTAGCATGTGCTGTCTGGCACTTGCACAGAGATGATCTTTTAACTACCTTCTATGGCTCCATGTTCGCGACCTTTCAATATGAGCGAAGCATGTGGTTGAATGACCGTTGCTGTTGATGGCCTTCGGTTAGACGATGTTGGTAGTGATTGGTACTTCTAAGGCAACCTCAACGGTGGTAGATTCTAAGACGGAATCTGGGGGGATGCTTCTAGGTTATGGTAGACTTATCCTTTACTCGTAGTTTCTCGCGACAATTTCAGGTAAGGTCACTCATGATAGTCACGCGTTCCTTGTGCATGAGTCAGCCTTAAAATTTTGGTGTAAATTATAATGCGAGGATCTTTCAGGTATTCCCTTTGCGTCCCTCTTTAAACTGCATAAAGTATTGAAATGTCGGATTGTGATGACTATGTCAAACGTCAAGAAGAGAGATCTTGTTTTTATTGCAACGAATTAAGAGAACTGTCGAGATGTTACATCGACCGTTATACTACGAATGATTGGATTATGCATATTAACAAATTTTATTGTACATGACTTTTAAAACTTATCTCATCGAAGGGCAATCCTCTGCAACAGAGTGAGTCTGATGCTCCGTTCCAGAGCTAGAAGGCGCTAAACTCCTCCTGAATGCAATCTCAAGTAGATTGGCAGGCACCAGGTATTAGGTCAAAATTACCTGGAAACAACAAAATCAGAACTGTGATGTTTTAGGGGTATTAACTTTGTGCACTTGTTAGCAGCTGGGCAAACGGCATTCTATACCAGTCAGAGATATTTGTTAATTGTTCCGATTCCGAGGATCATCTAATACTGCATGTATAATTGAAACTTGCTTCCCATAGTTCCAGTTCTCCCCTTGCTTTTTGCTCACACTCAGTAAAAAATCGGTAAACATGTGCTCGTAGTCGGGCAATTTACCGTATCCTGCATTGGCATTAAAAAGCTGTTTCATAACCAACCAGGACGGTGGAGGGAAGCATGCATGTTTTAAGTTTCACAGGCTTTTCGTACACCAAAAACTACAATCTAATACTTGCCTGGAAAGTAGTTGATGTCAATGACAAAATACATGTCTCTATTCACCTGCTCCCTTATCATATCTATGTTGAACAGTTGGAGACCCTGTAACGAGATACAAATGATAAAGTTAAAAAGAAGGCTACACCAGGTATAAAAGAGGTGCCAATGGCCATGTTGGCATAGTAGACAGGAAGAAGTGTAAAAGACGTTACCAGCCGGTGGCGGAGCTCTTTTGCAAGCTTCTCCAGTAAGGGTCTGGGAGGGAGTTCTGCACGGAAAGCCAACCTTATGAAAAGGTCTTAGGAAGTAAATCTAGTGGTCAACTTTTATTTTAACTGCTATGCCACTCATCATAAGTATATGTTTTATCGAGAAAGATGACAAACCACGTAGAGAGATACCAGGGTAAGAAATTGTTTGAGGAACTTTGAATGAATCATTATGAGCCACAAATGTTTCATAAGAAGTTTCACAACAAACAGAACTCCAAAAGTTTCATCCTGCCATTTCTTGTGTTTGCAGATGCTTCCAGATGAAGTCGACAACATTTGCAAAGTTATGATAGTGAATGAAACAGGAGCGAGAAAAAGGAACTTTTCACTCGTGCCTCTCATGTTTCTTCCTCTAATAGGAAATTGTGCCTTCCCCAATTTTCACTAACCTAATAAGGCTTCAGAGGACGTTATTAAATAGGAAGTCTCCAATCCGAACTGGTGGATGGAGATGACATAAACAGCATAAGTCTGGATGAAATACTAAAGGATATTGAAGGACAACTGAACCTCTGAATCTCATGGTTTTCTGCCCCGACCAAAGATCACCTAGAAACTGACTCGAAAATTTTCACTCGACAAGATATACATAAAACAAAGCAGTTCAATATCTCTTACCAGTAACACCGGGGTCGAGATCAGCATCTTCTGCTGAAGATGCAGCAGAGGAAACCCTTGGGAATGGAAACACTCCAGTAACTTTAGAAAGCTTCCGCCTGCTGATATTTGGTAGAGAGAAACGCCTAACAACCTTTATAAAATCACCAATAATATATACCTTAAAGAGCACACCACCTTCAACAAACAAAGCACAAGTTGTGACACAGTTAATTTACGTGATGTGATTGTCAGAGTGTATGATATCTAGCAGCAGACACTTCAAAAACAAAAATGAAGAGTAATACCATGATTAACAAACTCTTGCAAAACCAGGGGAGGCTCAAGCTCTGCGAGGGAGTACCGATCATAAGCAAGAAACAATTCATGGGACTTGGGGCTTCCATCCACCACTAGTGGTTTGGCAACTGAAACAGCAACAACCAAGAAAACTTAGTAATTAAGCCCCAGTTACAGAGAACTCACTTGACTCTCAGCAAGTGTCATTATTGTCTAATCCTGACGAATTCACAGTGCACAGTGCATTGAAGTATGAAAATCGCCTTTGCACCCCACACTTGCTCACATGCAACTCTCTGTGTGCTTAGAGTCATTGCCCCCAGGAATCTAGAGGGAGTTCTTTTGAGACATTGTCAATGCTATAACGCAAAATTCCCTAATCTGGAAGTCATGCAAATTTTGGAGGAGATAAGGTGTTGGAGGAAATGCAAGTTCTATCCCATCAGGTGTCAGAATGAACATAATGCCACGACATACCTAGTGGCAAACTTAGTCCAGCTTCAGCAACTTCACACGGGATGGATTGAGAATCTTCTCTTATGACCAATTGCTTTGGAACTCCCACTGTGCCTACAAGAATTTTTAATTTTTTTAGTTAGAAAAAAGAGTCAGTCAGCATCATTGAACGACTATCTTCTACATTATGCCATCTAGTTCCAAAACTGGAGATTGCTATTTAACCTAATGCACTTCCCACAAACTACGAACTAAAAAATAAATTATTACCATAGCAGTCATGCATGTTCAGATCTGCAACATCCTGGAGCATGGATTGGCGATCACATAAATGTTCAATAGCATCAGGAGGATCAACTACAGCTACTTCTGGATGTTTTCTCTGGTAGCCCTTCAAAAAGGATAGATGGTAACCATGTCAACTCTGGCAGGCTAAGTAAAGTATCAAGGAACTTGCTTGCACTAAGAAGCTCAGAAAAGAGATTAAAGGTCCATCCATTTGTTGTACTGGTTCAAACCTTTTTGTACCAGATGTTAATTAAGCTATGGAATTTAAAATAAGCACAGAGCTTCCCTGATTGTTCGATGATCAAACCATTCTCATCCCTCAGAAGATTACGCCACATTATCCAAAAAAATGACTCTCAAAACTAACAGTGAAACAGACTCCTGGAAATGAGTCTACTTGTATAGCAGAAACAAAAGCCTCAAACTCTATTGAGGTGGGCTTCTGTCATTCGCGATCTTATCCTTAGATTCTGAGAGAGTAGACAATAAAGTCAAATGCAAAAAATTACTTTGAAGGGGCCAAGAAGCATTGAACTTTCTGCAAGCCCCGATATTTCCTAACACGCAAATAAACTAGATGGAGATTTGGTCTCACTAAAAAGCAAAGAAAGCAGTTCATGTGCTAAGGTCAGTGGATAATAAAACTTAGAAGTTCTTTAGGTCGCACTTTTGTCCCCAGGCCTCTGCTTTCGGCTTATAATACAAGTATAACAATTTTTTTCAACCAAAAGTTGCTGCTTCTACAGAAAGTACTACAAAAACTTAGGAAGTGAATTTTTAGGCCCATTGACCTCAGAAATTCCCACTAGATTGCGTTCTCGAGGAACAGATTTCAACCATCTGATAATGGTTATTAGGAGATGAGCAAGGAATCTACAAATTGTCTCAAAGGTTTGAGTTTCTAGGTTCTAAACCCCATCATAAATTTACAACGGAATAATATAAAATTTTGAGTAATCTCGTGGAACAGTTGGAGAGGCACTTGTCAGAGGTCGAATTCTACAATTTTGTTCAATTTATATAAAAAGCAGATAAAACACATGGTACAGTGCTGAGAAGGACGGACCTCAATGATCTTGAACCATTCCTTTCCTGATATCTGGGAGGAACGCAGGCTAATCAGATGCTTAACAGCAGTACAAAATGCACAGAGCTTTTCAGATAGTCCGCAAGTTGATCTGTGCATGAAATATTGACTAACCTTGTGCAAAACAACATCGAATGGACCTTGGTCTGCTAAGGGCCTGCTGATATCGATGGCAACAAACAGTATCCCCTTGTTTCTGCATCAAACATATTGTTATCTCACGGTCCACCATGATAGTTTCGGATGAACATTTCTCATCATAGAAACAGTCAGTTTTAAAGACTCTTAGATTTATAACATCTTCCATTTTCCAATTCAAACGCGCTTAACAAAAATCACTTTCACAACTTTGAAAAGTATATGCTATACAGTAGACAAAGCCAAATCTTATAAAAACTGCTGATACTTTCAATTTTTTTTCATGTTTTGTTTTTTCGTCCTTCCAATGAAAGCTAAACTAACTGATCTATCCAAGCATGGGATGCAAGGCCGGGAAGGAACCGGGAGTCATTACATGCTGTAGACTTCTGATAATCTGTAATCGTCTTTTACATACTGCATGACACTGACACGTTAATAAACAAACATGGCATTTCTTTAAACTGGACATATGTGAGATCACTGAAACTGCAACTGACGGTCAGCCAGCAATGAAGCCAGGGATTTGACTAAAAAATCAATAGATTGAGTACAGTTACTCCAGGGACACATGGGTAAATAAACACCCAGAGAGGCCCGAAACCAGAGTCGGAAGATTCCCACGAAAAAGCATGCCGAAGGATTTACCAAATATATTTCTTTTTTGGTCGAAACCAAATATTGACTTTAAATCCCTTAGCGTTGGACTCATCCAAAGGTATATAATTCAGGATATTCCTCGGAAACAGTTGGCAAAAAAACAGCCCAAGAGTCTAGATACCAGCAAAAGGATGTTGATGTGATAATAAGTCAAGCAAAAACCAGTTGGATCAATCCGCGAAAGCGAACTATGTCTACCCAATAAGTTCCCTCAACTGTAGCAGGACATGCCAAGAGACGAGCAAGAAACAGGGAACATTTCCCCCGATCTCGGAAACCCCATATGAAGTCAGGTAACCAGAACCATCAACTTTTCACAGATTTCGGGCCTTCCCGTTTCAAGAACTTGCGATCTAAGCACCCGTGAAACCCGAAAACGAAAAACTTTTCACGTGATATACACGCACGTGTACCTACAGCGAGAATACCCACCGCGCAAGTCCTTCGAGTTTCGGCTGCAGAAAACTCTTCTTCTTCTTGGAAGTCAGAGCGTAGCCCACCACCACCTTGTCATCGACGTCGAGTGAACTCGGGCAGACGTGTGAATCCACTCGTTCCTCCTTCTCTTCCTCGTCCTCGCTCGAAATCTCTCCACTCAACCTCATGCCCACCGTCGTACAAAATATCGCCGCCGAATCCTTAATGCAAATGGGTGACCAAGATTTGGCCTCCGCGCAAGTTCTTGGATCACTCCCGCGTATATAACAAGAAAATGAGGCCCACCCAGATCGTTCTTTCTCGAGTTCTTACTGGGTTCCCTCAGTCTCTACCAATAAGCTCTCCAATCTATCAAGATGTGCAAGAACTGCCTCACAGAAAAGAGAGAGAGAGAGAGAGTTTGCATGGAAGCTCGTCGTATATAAAGAGAGAGAGAGAGAGAGAGAGAGAGAGAGCGAGAGAGAGAGAGGCAAAGGAGGCGTTTCTCGTACAGCGGTGTGAACTGTGTTGCGGGGGAATATTCACTCTGCAGAAGAGAAAGGTCCGATTTTTTACTGTGGTTCTTTTGAGGAAAAAAATAAAAAAGAAGAAGCAATTAATCATGTGTTTTTTTTTAAGTTTTAAAATATAAAACCAGGGGTCAATCCATAGATTAGTGGGACGGCCCAAAAATATTTAAATAAGATTAGGCAGCTCAATTTCCTATCTTGTCCTTACTTTTCTGGTGCTTTTATTAATTGTTCCTTTGCTGGACATGCCTTCTCCCTTTCTAGTTAGTTTAATGATATCCACAAGATTATCCAATTTCTATCTAATCCATGCCTGTTTTGTTTTGAGAAAAGTTCTTATTCATTATAATAATTATTCATGATTCATAAACTTCCTACGTTGGAGGAAATTTCCTGATCTCTTGACCTGTTCTCCCTTCAGCACTCCAATCTTATAGCAAGTGAATTCCACTAAACTATGTCATTTAATCTCCCTTTTTTCGACTTTTTTTTGTAAAATTGTATACAAGATATAAAACATTTAAATTTTAAAATCGAAGTACGTAAGATATAAAATAGAGCTGCCTATTTACGCATTTCTTATTCTTTGAATAAATAATCTAGCTCTTAAAAAAAAGAGGTCTTCTTTATTTTATATGTTAGTATAGATTTCGTTTAGGGAGATGTTCTAATATGACGTGATCGTTTTGCTACTTTGCTACCTCTCTTATTACATCCTTTATATTGTATATAAAAAAAAATTACATGACATAAGTATAGCTCATCTTCAGATCTATAACAAGGCAAGTTCTGGGTGCAAATAAATTTGCCCATTAATTGTGGAAGAGGAGTTTACAAGAATCAGTCGATCCAAAATATCTTTTTACAAGATCTCCTTTCCTTTTACTCATATATATATACACACACACAAGGAGGACAACCCTACCAAAGATTAAATTGTATTCCAATATTCATTTAATTTCTGAAGGAAAAGAAATAATAATAATGACATGATTGACTTACATGTGTTTAAGTCGTCGTTGATTCAAATCTTGAACCTAGACAGTGTCCCTTTCAACGCTCCATAAATTTAGGATGTAATAGTCTGAATCATCTTCAATTTCGCCCGTTTGAATATATGAAGCATGCGGTAACTTCGGATAGCAAAATCATTAGTCTTTTTGGTTCGAGAATATGCTCGGAATCATGCCCCCATCGATTCTTGGCTAATACTCCATGAGGTGGTCATTTTGGGTTGGTTAATATCCTAAATGACCTCAACAAGAAATCTATTGAACTAATCATTTTTATATTGAATGTTTTTCATTAGTTTATCACCCCTAAGACAACGTAAAATCTTTTTAACAAAACATTCTAGGAACAAGTGTGTTGAAAATTTTAAAGCTTGTCATGAAAGTGCAATTACGAAAAGCGTAATCAAGTCCTAAAAATTGTCGAATTAGTGCAATCGAGTCCTTTCGTTAATTCCGTCAAACTTGACTAACAGAAATACTGATGCGGCTTTCTTTTAATATTTTTCTCTCTCCTATGTGGTGACGTCATGGCTAAAACATGAAACATAAGGCTAAAATGATGTCGTTTTGATTCAAATCTGATTTTTAATACAAATTTTATTTAAAATAAATTAAAAATAAGCTAAATTAAAAAAAAATAAAGAGGTGAGAACCAGCCCTCGCCGTCGTTGGGGGAACGGCCGGCGAGGGTCACCGAGCCCTGGCCACCAGACCATAGGCAAGGGCCTCCGACCATCCCCGCCTCGTTGGCCCTTCCTGCCGATGGTGGGGCAACGATGGTACATTTGGTTCTCACGTTATTTTTTTTTTTTAATTTAGCTTATTTGTTAATTTTTATGAATAAAATTTGTGTTGAAAATCAAATTTGGATTAAAACGACGTCATCTTATCTCGTCATCGCCACATAGGATAGAGAAAAAAAAAAATCCATGTCAGCATTTTCCGCCAGTCAAGTTGGATGGAGTTGATGGAGGGACTCGATTGCACTAATTTGATAAGTTTTAGAATTTGATTACACTTTTTGAAAGTTTTAGAATTTAATTGCACTTTTATAACAAGTTTTAAGACTTCCGGTACATTTATTTCAAAAATTTTATTTTAAAAATATAATCATATCATTTTACGTTAAGTGCTTTTAATAGGGCAAGGTAACAGTGTAATTAGGGGGCTTAACTTGGATCCTTGATTGGTGGTTACACTGGTAAACTCACCAAACCAGGGGTTGTTTCCAACCAACATAGGTTGTTCGTGCCTGTCCACAAATGTGGCGGGTTATAAGACCGAGTTCCTTACTTTAACGTGATAGTGTCCACTAGACATGGCCACGGGTCGGAACCGGCAGTTCCGGTTCATGGCCATGTATGAAACGGAACTGACGGTTCCGCGCAGATAAAAATTAAAAAAATAAATTATGAAATAAAAAAATAATGAATTATCAAATTATGAAATAATGAATTATTCAATATAAAATGTAATCAAAATGTACATTGTAATCAAATTTGGGGAAAAAAAGAGTTTCTCCACTTATGTGTAGTTTTTTTTTTGGGAACCGGGCCCGGAACCGCCGAACCGTAGGCCCGGTCAACGGGCCGGTCCCGAGTTTGACCCGGGCCGAAACCGGCCCGTGGTCATGTCTAGTGTCCACAAGCTACACTCCCTTAATTTCTCATGTATTTTTGTTTTCTTTAGAAGAAATCAATAACCTATTGCCGTTTTACGTTTGAGGGATGCCAAGATCCGCATGAAACTTCGGAAAAAGCGGTTTTACCTCATGTTTAGAGGAAATAGCATGACATGTTCTATCGTTCCAGATAGACGATAACAGAAGCTGAAATCATGTTTGGGAGTGAAACGAGGGCAGGCAAGAAACATGTTGCACGTGGGCCGCAGGTTTCTCGTTTTTACGATGATTTGAATTGTCACGTTCACTTTTCGAGCCGACACGTTTTATCTATTTATGTCATTCGCGCACGTGCTTGAGATGATAATTCATGCCTCGTGACATGACAATGTTTTCAAGAATAGCTATTTTTCGAGTCTTGATTATTGAAAAAATTGACCACAACCTACCATTCCATTGGCCCCAAAGTCTGAGACTGTTATATCAAATCAAGTAAGAAAATTGCTTTTTAATTCAATCAAGAAAATAAATCTTTTGCTTTATTCAGTATCTCTTGGTGGGCCCTACAGCGATTCTTCATCACACAGTAAGATTTATTCAAATGGTCAATACTCTAATATGCATTAAGGGTGCATTTGGCAACTTACCAAATAGTAACTGATTTTATTATTTTATTCCCAGAATTAGTTTGAGAACAGAAATCCGTTTGTTAAATTTTTTGTGCCCGGGCACAATTTTGCAAAAAATTGTGACCAGAATCAGTTTTGGAACAGAATCAATAAGCAAAAAAAAGTAGTTTCTTGATTCTGGAACAATTTTTCCGGAACTGACTCTTCTTGATTTTCTTCATTTTTTTTGGTTTGTTGTTGTTCTTTGGCCCCGCCACCCGCTGGCCACTGGCGACCGGCCACAGGCCGGGGCCAGCAAGGGCGTCGAGACCCTTGCCGGCGGCCGGCGAGGGCGTCGTGGCCCTCATCGGTGGCCAGCGAGGGCAGCTCGCGGCAGTGACGGCATGGCCTCGCCTTGGCTAGGCACGTGCTTGACCTCGCCTTGGCTGGCCTTGCCGTTGCCACCCAGGCAATGGATCTGGGTTGCGACGGCGAGGGAGGTGACGAGGGCCGCGACACCCTTGCCGGCCCTGGCCTGTGGCCGGTCGCCAGCACCGGCGGCCGGCCATGGCCAAGGAAGGGAGGGGAAAGAAAGGAAAAAAAAAAAGAAAAAAAGAAAGAAATATTAAAAAATTCAAAATATTATTAATAAAAAGAAATTTTATGTAGTTACCAAATTCATTTCTGTTCTTTTTCTATTCTAAGAACAGAAATTTTGGGCAGTTACCAAACGCCTTCAAATGCTTAGAAATTATTTTCGGGCACAGAATAAAAAAGAATAATTTCTGCCCAGAATCTTTTTTTGGGCACAGAATGGTTGCTATACGCAGCCTAAATGACATGTATTAAAATGAAGGGCTGTAAAAAAAAATTGGAACCTATCCAAATCGAAAGTTTCAGGTCTTCTCGGGTTGGGCCGGTTCTCCTCTAGTTCGGATAAACGCTTTAAAATCTAGGTATTTGATAATTTTGGTTCGGTTTGAGTCATGAAACCGAACCGAACTGAAACATAGTTCAAACACTACCTCCGTTGTTTTTATAGCCCTAAATGAAGGGATGCCCGTCGTTCACTACAACCCATCGTCATGGACGGTGCCTTGCAACCTTCGGACACCGTCACTCCTGCCGTCGCCCTTGATTGCACGGTCCCTTGATCTCTAGTTTTTCATTTTATGGAAAAAAGTCACAAAAAACCCTAAGCTATGTTCATTGTGTCAAATTTACAATGAATTTTTTTTGTAACATAAAAAATCTCAAATTATGCCCACCACGACATATTTGCTCTAAACTTTTTTTTTGTGACGTAAAAAATCACAAATTTGTACTTATGTGACACATTTACCCTCCATCAAGATTTCGTTAGATAAATTTTTGGCCAAAACAACGTCATTATTATTTTATTTAAGTCATGTGAACGCTATGTCAATGTTGTTTGCTTTTTGGTGTCCATATAGGTAAATTTTTAACGATTTCATTAACAAAATTTTGACGAAGGTAAATATGTCACACACGTACAAGTTTGGGAATTTTTTGTATCACAAAAAAAATTTAGGATAAATGTGTTACAGTGGACATAATTTAAGGTTTTTGATGGTTTTTGCTCTTCTTTTTCTAGTCGTGCTCTGTCATTCTTTCTCTCTCTAACTCTCTTCGTCTCTTCCTAGCAGCCCAATTGTTGAGCTTGCCAACTCTTTCAGCAGAGGCGTCGAGCCTCTAGACCTCTAATTAGTTACCTCTAGGACCGTGAAATCGTCCGTCAATATGGAAATAGTCTCGCATGGCATTCTCACCCAATAATTGTTTCAATTTTCCCTCCAAAACGGAGATCTTGAATTTGCCCCCGCGGGGAGGTAGCATGTAGTCCCAAATAAGTGTATGTCGGGGCTGATTCCAGAACGGGTTGGAATCCAACTCGAACATTCTGAAAGGATTTTCTCCTTCCGATCGATAATAAGGTCGATTTCGTCATCCGAGACAGTTTTAGATCTAAAGGCTCGACACCTTCCCCATGGTGTTGGAGCCTGCCATGGAGGAGCCACAAGCTCATGGTCAGTGGTGCCGAACGGAGGCGAGGTACTCGGGGTCGATATGAGTGAGGGCAAGCCGCGTGGAGGTCGAGACGGTGGTGGCTAAGTCATCGACGGTGATGATGCCTTGTGGCCGGTGGCGGCTGCACCTAGGGTTTTGTACGCCTTTTTGCTTTACTAGTCTTTGTGACTCCAGCCTCATGCCTGTAAAATTTTAAATTCTCGGAGACCATTCAAGAATGGTTTTCTTTACCTAAGAACACTCTCCATTCTTCTTCGATTACTTTACTTGCTTTGAGAATTTTTATTATTTTTTTTGTTTGGTTTGATGAGAATCCAATATGTGGTTTTTGGGAGCAAAAAAAGACAGAAGACCAGAAAACCCAATTCTAACAAACCGACTCGAATCGTGCTTCTGATTCGAGTTGCATGCGGTTCGGGTTGTAACAAACACACTTCCTTGACACCTGACCTGAACCGAAACCGTTGACACTCATGTTAAAAAGTTACTTAATGAAACAATTTGCTTCATCTCTCGTGCATAATGGAAGAATGTAAAAAGAAATAAAAACATAAATGACGAAGTTTTCTCTAATTAGTGAATTTTGTCTAGCAGCTCAAGGCACGAGAGGGCACTGCCCCGGAAAGAAAAATTTATACTAATGCATAAAAATAATTTGGCGAGAAAAAAAAATGCTTTTTATCAAAAATCATTCACATGCGTCCTGATATAATTTGAGCGATGACAAAGCACATGCATATATATTAGTCCTTGGAGAAATAGATAAATTACAGGTTGACTTGGATGAAGAGGATATATAACGTTGGCAAACATCAACCCAACTCTTCAAGATGAAGGACGAAGTATAAATGCCACATAGCTTTGCTCGATCTGAACGTGTCTGAACATGTATTTCTAGGACAGATAAGATCTGTTTAGAGATCTTGTAATCTAGTGACCTCTAGCTGGCTAGATTTGGTGGACCTTCCTTCTCTGCAAAATTTTGTTGGGTGATCCTTTCTTCCTACTGCCTCACTCATACGAGAGAATATGCCTTCCATGCGCGTGCATATTCTTAAATTCTCGAGAAAATGACATCAATGATTCATGAATTTTGATTAAATATTCAATATGATTCATGAACTTTTAATTTATTCAATATAATCTCTGAACTTCACCCTAACGTGTAATATGGTCCATGGACTTATAATTTGTTCAATGTGATCTCTATACTTTTGGTGTATGTTCAATTTAGTCTATGAACTATATGAAAATATTCAATTTTGTCATTCAATTATTTCAAATTCAGGGAAAATATTGAACATTTTCAAACAGTCAATGAAGTAAATTGAATATGTACCAAAAGTTTGGGGATCACATTGAACAATTTAAAAGTTTATGGACGACATTGCACATTGAGCTAAAGTTCATGAACCATATTACACTTTGGGCTAAAATTCGGAGACTATTTATGTTCTTCTCCTTAAATCCTCTCCTCACTTTATTTTATTTCCTGGTTTTTCGGGTGACCGATTTCTTCTCTGATCCAACTTTTGACAAAAAAAATGTTGCATTTTAAGGAATACGAGTATGACTTGCTTTGCCCTCCACGAATTGTCATATACCCAGCCATCGCCAACATTTTATCAAATTGGGGTTCTTCCATCATATTATTCGTATTGTTACTTCAAGAGAAGGTTTGATGCAGTGGGTAAAGTATTCGTCTTTGCAGGAATCTCTTCCATCACGATAATACAATCTACTGCGTAACACACGACGGTCTCACGTCGAAGTCCACAGACCGCCCAAGTTGGATTTTTCTTTAGGCTCTGGAGGCAACAAAGGCTGTCCATTTGGGTGGGGAAAACTCGGGACCATCTGACGTGAGACCACGACAGAACATCCGATTTGAGATCTGGTCTTTGTTCTCAAGTCTGATGTCTGTGTCCGTACAACAGTACACAGGAGAAATTGGAGCTGACCCGTGATTGCTATTGGCTTACACTAAAGAAGGAAACGACTCAGAGAGACCGTGGAGATTTTCAGCTTCTGCGTAGTTAAGAGGTTGAAGACAAAGCGCACAACTAGCCACGCTAATGCTATAACGAAGAATAATGGTTGACCGTTAATGTTGGAACACCTTTTTAAAAAGTTACCAACGCCAGCGACCTACTCTGTCCTTTGAACTCATCTCCAGTTCTTTAATGCATTAATTTAATTGCTAAACCAATGGCGGCAGCAGTTGTTCCGGAGTTTGCAGCAAAGTTGGTTTGACCTTTTGTGGTCACCTTCTTGCTTTAAATATTTGGTACTCTCCCAAAGAAATCGGACCCTTATTGTAATCTTCACTCTCTCTCTATTGAAAAGTTCAGATCTTGACGGACTCTACGATTTCAAGGCGAACTGTCTCTACTCAATACATTTTTCACCTGTGCGTGTCCAAGACTTCATCGAAAGCTGATTCCTGAACTTGGTCCCCAGATTTTCATCTGCAAGTAAGCGATAATATTCGATCGTCAGGAGCATGGCAGTCGCAGGGGAATTAACGGTTCCTTGTGGTCAGATCAGTTCAAAGATCCCAACTTTCAATGCCAAGAGCCAGATTTTTGGTGTGCCCATGATTTCTTGCTCTGGAGGGAAACTGAAGAGTTGGATGTCTACTGGAGTTAGAGCAGTATTGCAAATGGGAGTGGGAGCAGCTGAGAGTGGGAGCAAGATTGGGGGTGCTTTAGGTTTTGATGTGGTGTCGCAGGAAGAGTTGAGAGAGAAGGGTTTTCTGGGTATGAGGAAGACAAAGCTCGTGTGCACTATTGGCCCTGCTTGTTCCTCCTTGGAAGATCTGGAGAGGTTGGCATTAGGAGGGATGAATGTGGCTAGGCTCAACATGTGTCACAACTCGAGGGAGTGGCATTTGGATGTGATCAGGAAGATCAAGAAGTTGAATGAAGAAAAGGGTTTTTGTGTTTCGGTCGTGATTGATACCGAGGGCAGTCAGATTCATGTCGTTGATCATGGTGCTCCTTCCTCTGTCAAAGTAGAGGTCAGTGTGCGACAAAGGGATCACTTAATGCTTCATAGTTTAGGAAGTGTCGATAATTCCGGACTTCTTTTTTGTGATATTTTGTCTGTTCTGGTCTGCATTTATGTTTAAGCTTCATCTTAATTGATTACACTTTAATATGCTTAATCCTATTCTCATGGTGCTTTGTTTTGCTCTGAGAAAATTAGGAAGGATCGATCTGGTTATTTACTACGAAAAAGTTTGAGGGTTCCCGCCCTTTCACTGTCCAAGCAAACCACTCCGGATTTTCTGAAGGTACGAGTCAATGCATAGATAATGGAGCCTTTTAATGTAATTGACATATTTTGACGTCTAAGCGTCCCTCTCTACGTTAAACCTAAACTTTCGCAGGTGTCGAGGTTGGTGATGAGCTCGTTATTGATGGGGGCATGGCAAGTTTTGAAGTCGTTGAAAAGATTGGGAATGATTTGAAGTGTAAGTGCACAGATTCTGGTTTGTTTCTTCCTTGCGCAAAGTTCAGCTTTTGGAGAGATGGGAAGCTTGTCGAGAGGAATTACAAATTGCCTACTCTGTCAAGAAAGGTGGATTTCATAATCCTGGTTTCTTGTTTATATTCCTCAGACTTGGACGTTACTGCTTTCAGTAGTCCTTTGATGATTTCAGTGTGTTGTTCTTGCTTCAATGTGGACATTCTGCATGGCTTTTATTTATTGCTGGCTTGTTGCACTATATGGTCGGCTGTAAGAAAACGTGAGAAAAGGAGAAGACTACATTCTCATGCATTACCATTTGTGCCAAGAAGGGAGAAAAGTTGGTTCTGGCAAACCATAAATAGCCCAACTATGACTGTGCCGGAGCTTCATTTGTAAAATTTTGTTGCGGCCCCTTATTCCTTTCTTCTGAAGTGGGTGATTCATAATACTGTATGTGGAAGAGCTATCCAGGTGTTACACATGCTATATCATTATTTCTAGCGCACGGTTGTGGGGCTACAAATTTGCCACATGACCTCGGCACTTCATTGCAATGTATTGATACCATTACCATCTGAATCCTTGATACTTTCGCGTTTGATGGAAATGGTGGTTAATATAAAACTGAGAAGTGAGCACTAGCTTACGAGGATGGATATGAAAAAGGACTCATCAGCTGGGAAGTATACTAGTGGAGATGAGATGATTATCATGCTGATTTAGGTTCTCTCTTCTTGATTCCCACTAATTAAAAGCAACATATTAATATATATCAGAAAATTCTAATTCGATGCTCCTGAATCCTCTCATTGTCACAGATTGTTTTTCTTAGATGGCGAAATTGCACTGCAAGCCTTCAATTGATGATCTTGATAAACAAAAAATCTACGAATTCCTTTCAAGCTTGTGAGTTCACTGTATTATATGGTTTGTTTGCAGGATTGGGCTGACATAGACTTTGGAATTGCTGAAGGTGTAGACTTCATTGCAATGTCATTTGTCAATGATGCTGATGCAGTCAGCAACCTTAAGGATTACATTTCCACCAAATCATCCAAGTAAGTTGAAGTGTTGCATAAAGTTCACAAGAAGGAAGTTCTGTAGTCTCCTTTTCTACAATCATATGGAACCTCTTGATATTGGAATCCAAAACAATATTTCTTTCTCATTTACCAGATCTATTAGAGTATTGGCAAAGATAGAGAGCCTAGAGTCTCTTCAAAAATTGGGGGAGATTGTTGAAGCTTCCGATGGTATCATGATTGCTCGGGGTGATCTTGGAGTGGAAATCCCCCTGGAGCAGATTCCCACAGTCCAAGAGAAAATAACTTATGTCTGCAGGCAAATGAATAAGCCTGTGATTGTAGCTTCGCAACTTCTCGAGTCCATGGTCGAATTTCCTACTCCAACCCGTGCGGAGGTACTATTTGCTAGGAATGAATTTCTGTTATATAGACAGGCCAGTTACATTCACGGAGTCATTGATTTGATGCTCGGTTCATAAGGTTGCAGATGTGTCTGAAGCAGTTAGACAGTATGCCGATGCTTTGATGTTATCAGGTGAATCTGCAATAGGATCATATGGACAGAAAGCTCTTTCTGTCTTGCGAATGGCTAGCAGTCGGATGGAATCGTGGAGCCGGCAGGAAAACCGACAGAGCACGCTCTTTCATCGTAAGCTAGGAACGTCATTGCCTGACCGTATTGCTGAGCAAATTTGTAATTGTGCTGCTGAAATGGGTAAGATTCCTTTCTCCTTCAGCATCCTTATATTCTTCCATGTATGTTTTATCATGCTAGATGTCCAATATATGCTGCTAGCCAGCATTAGATACTCCACAATGATATACTTGTGCTTTTGAAGCATTTTAGACTAGCAGTTGGTGGTTATTTTTGGAGCCAAGAATCGAGTACCATCTGTTAAAATATTACATGAAAATTGGGATGCCCACTTTGTGCCGTTGTCCAGGTAGACTCATACAGCCCAAGCTCTCAGGTTATGGTCTGTAAAATAACCGAATCTTGAACACTGTCTAGTTTGTTCGAGTACACACGAATTTTGAATAGGCACACTTGCTTTTTTTTTTTTGCACGAACACTTGCTTCTAGTTGAGTTATGATCTATTATTGGACAAATCAACTGTACTGGTTGAAATCAACATGGAATTTGTGCGCTTTTCTGTTCACTTCGCAGCTAACAACCTCGGCGTTGATGCCATTTTTGTGTACACAAAACATGGACACATGGCATCTCTTCTGTCACGCAACCGTCCATACTCTCCCATATTCGCGTTCACGAACGACAAAAGCACCAGGATGGCTCTCAATTTGCAGTGGGGAGTTATTCCCCTCTTCATTGACTTGACAGATGACATGGAAGCTAACATCGCAAGGTCAGTCGATCTGATGAAGGTGAAGGGGTTGGTGAGGGAGGGAGACACTGTACTGGTGGTCTCGGATGTCACTACCACCGGTGCACCCTCTACTGCTTTCCAATCAATCCAGGTGAAGACCATTTCTTAAGCACTCGAACCACACAATAAGTTATCTTTATATCGATTGCAGCTTAAGTCTTCTTTACATGATGCCATTCATGTATTACCTGTTGATTGGGTAATGCACGATTGCTTTGAAGTTTTAGAGGATATATAGACCTCACTTTGGGTTCTGATGCAACGCCCTCAAGCTCAATCTTGCATTGTTAAGCTAGTGACTGAACAATCATGCTTGCTCAAAAGTTGCTAGTTCAAAGTTTTGATCACTTGAGCATCTGTTGGCACGACAAGAACGCAAAGGGAAAGCATACGTTACTGAACCTGGACCGCTTAAGTAGCTTAAATGCAACACTAATCAGGAGCTTGCTTTTGCCTCTGTTCAAATGCACTTGTACCTGAAACGCTATGTATCTTGAGCACGGAGATTAGAGGGAAAAAACCACCAAAAACCCCAAACTTTCCCACTTGTGACACATTTACCCCGAACTTTTTTTTGTGACACCAAAAACCCCAAACTTTGTTATTTGTGACACATTTACCCGATATACATTGTCCATGGGTATTTTCGTTTTTTAGCTTTTTCTTTTTCTTTTTACTTTTTTTCTTTCCGACGAGGGCCCCTCGCCGGATCCGGCGAGGGGGCCCTCGCCGCCGTCGGGCGAGGGCCGCCCGCCGGATCCGGCGAGGGCCGCCCTCGCCGGCGTAGGCGAGGCTCGCCCTCGCTCGCCCGAGGGCGAGCCCCACCCGGACGCCGGCGAGCCTCGCCCGGCTCGGGCGAGGAGGGCGAAGCTCGCCCGACGCCGCGAGCCTCGCCCGGCTCTGGGCGAGGAGGGCGAGGCTCGCCCGACGCCGCGAGGCTCGCCCTCGCCCGGGCGAGCGAGGGCGAGGCTCGCCGCGCCGGCGAGGCTCGCCCGGCGAGGGCGAGCCTCGCCCTACGCCGGCGAGGGCGGCCCTCGCCGAATCGCCGGGCGAGCCTCGCCTCGCTCTGGGCGAGCGAGGCGAGCCTCGCCGCGCCGGGCGAGCCTCGCCCGGCACGGGCGAGGAGGGCGAGGCTCGCCCTCGCCGGGCGAGCGAGGGCGAGCCTCGCCGACGGCCGGCGAGGGCCCCCTCGCCGGAAGAAAAAAAAAGTAAAAAGAAAAAGAAAAGCTAAAAAGACGAAAATGCCCATGGACAATGTATATCGGGGTAAATGTGTCACAAATAACAAAGTTTGGGGTTTTTGGTGTCACAAAAAAGTTCGAGTAAATGTCAAATGGAAAGTTGGGGTTTTTTCCCGAGATTAGATATCTTACATATGTCTGAAGCTTGCGATATCGGAGGAGCGGTCCTAGATAAGAGACAATTACACTCCACTGCTCGCCACTTCTAAATCTCGTGAGAAAAAAACAATCAATGTCAAGAAAGAGAGAGAGTTTCGGACTCGAGATCATCTGTACGATACAGACAAATCAAGCGTTCAGATACCATGTCAAGGTATTTGTAAAACTCTACATCCTGCTTGTCCCATTTGAACCCAAAGGCGTGCAAGAAAGAGGTTGAAGAGTTCTGTGCGTGCATGGCCCGTCACATGGACTTGGAGGTAATAGAGGCAAAACAATTTTTTGTCCAAGAGAGACTTATGGTGCGCATGAATATCATTTTGTGCTCGGGAACTATTTCTGAACAGAAATGATTTTTTTTTATTCTGTGCCCGGAAACAATTTCTGAGTATTTGAAGGCGTTTGATAACTGACCAAAATTTTTATTCCTAGAGTAGAAAAGAACGGAAATGCATTTGGTAACTACACAAAATTTCTGTTCCCAAATAATATTTTGAATTATTTAATTTTTTTTTTCTTTCTACCCATTTTCTTCTTTGGCCATGGCCGTCGCGCGACCGGCCAGCCTAGAAGCAGCGAGGGCGTCACGGCCCTTGCCCCGGCAGCCGGGCGAGTCTTTGGACCCTCGCCCGGCGAGGCGGCCTAGCCCGATCGGGCGGCCGAGCCTCGCCGTCGGTCGCTGGCGAGGCCGAGCCTCGTTGTCGCGACCAGCTGCGAGGTCGGCTTCGCCAGTGGTCGCGACGGCAAGGCTCGGCCTCACCGGATCCGGGCGAGGCCGAGCCTCGCCGTCTCTGCGGCGAGGCCGACCTGTTGTCGCGACCAACGGCGAGGCTCGGCCTCGCCGTCTGGCGAGGCCGCCTCGCCCGGGCGGCGAGGGTCCCCCGCCCTCGCCGGCGAGGGCGACCCTCGCCTCCGCCGGCGGCCGGAGAGGGCCGTGACGCCCTCGCCGCGGCGGAGAGGGCCGTGACGCCCTCGCCGGCCCTGGGCTGTGGCCGGTCGCTGGCGGCCAGCCCAGCCCAGGGAAGAACAACACAAAAATAAGAAAAGAAAAAAAAGAAAAAGAAGAAAAAAAACTGATTCTCAAAATTGTGTCGAGAAGCAATTTTTTTTTACTTCTTGTTTCTCTTCCAAAACTGTTTCTCGGCACAAATTTTTGCAAAAATGTGTCCGGAAACAAAAAAGTTTACCAAACGCATTTCTGTTCCCAAACTATTTCTGGGAACAAAAGAACAGAAATTTTCACTATTTGGCACGTTGCCAAACGGGCCTTATTTGCGCAAGCAAAAAAGTCATTGTCCCGCTAATTCCGAATCCAATCAGTTTTGACGTTTCTGAATAACGCTTTCCTGTGAAACTTTTTTGGTGCATGTTGATGAACCAATTTGGACTTTCTGCTCACTTCGATTCAGTGACACTCATCCCGATCGTTATGTTCTTATGCATTGTAGATCTACTCAATGCAAGAACAATTATGCAGACGGTAGTAGTAACTATAATAACGATATGTAACGATAGTTTTTTCTACATTTCATGCCAGACATAAAAAAAAATGCGACTGCCTCCGCTAAACTTGCGTCTCTAGGAGCTTCGCCCGGAGGCAAATTACACGTCGCCATCTCTCTCTCTCTCTCTCTCTCGAAGCGCAGTCGCATACGCACAGCCACAAAACAAAGGCGCGCACGTTAGCCCTTGCCCCGGCCCCCCCGCTAAATTTCGCCTCCCCTGCATAAGAACAGAGACCAGCCGTCACGCCCGCGTTTCGTCTACCACTGGATCCTTTGTCCCTCTGGAAGAGAAGGCAAAGCGGCCCACGCTTGCTGCTTCCTTTTACGCAACTTGTTCTTCTCGTTCTTCACATACGAACATGAAATTCTTCCTTCGCTGACGCATGTAGCCTGAGCACAGAACTGAACAGAGTCTGCAACTGATGATGGCTTCGCTGCAGATTGCGAGACCCGCTTTCGCCTCGGCTTCCGTCCCCCGATCGAAATTCAGCGGGAGCTCGAGGTGGTGTAAGGAATCGGGACCCAGGAGGAGGGTTTTGAGATTGATGGATTGTGGGTATTCGAGGGATGGTTTGAAAAGGCGGCCTTTTGTTTCGTGTAAAGTCCAGGACGGCGACGGGAAAAGCAATGGAATTGGCAAGTCGCCTTCTTTTTGCTCTCTTCGTCTTTTGTTTCTCGCATTGAAAGAGGCTTCCTTCTGTTTCTGGTGGTTTCCTCGCGCGGATTGATTCTTGGGCTGCCTTGCTCTTTTCTTGTTTTGTTGATGTTTTGCGTTTATGGGTATGCTCTGCAATTTCATCTTTCAAGCTACGCTTACGAGACATGCTTCTCAAGCGTGTCGAAGATTACCCAGTTGGATGAATTGAGACAATATGGCACAAATTTTTGTTTCTTTTTTCCTCTAGATCGATTTGAACGTCATACTCAGAAGTTCTGTTTGCTTTCTTGCTTTGCAAGTGCAGAGTCTCTCCTGAAAACTGCATGTTGTGTGTGTTTTAGTAGGAGCCACTACTCATACAGCGTCCCACAATGCTTAATGGTTGTGAACCGAATCAATCTTGTAGTCTTCGGGGGATGTGTGAACCTGGATGCTAAGCGGTGCTGGTGGATTGAATGGTGCTGGTGATAATTCGTTCTTGAGCGGATTCATTTGTTGGAATTAGTTTATTTGAATGGCCCAGTGCGCTTTTGGCAGCTCATTTGTGGATGTTAAAAAATTGCTTGCTGAATCACAGTCTAGGAGCGAAAGGTGTCTTGGTTACTCCAGATTAAGCAGGATTTCTTGTCACCACTTATAACAGGTTGATGGAAATTAAGGAACTTTCTTGGGATTTATTGAGTTTCCCACTTGTATCGATAGCTCTTCTTGCAGAGAGAAAGGGAGAAAGGGAAATTTCATTTACCTGTCCAAAAAGCAGAAAGGCACGGGGGGGAAGATCAAGGTTTCCTTCTTTAATCTTGTTGGTGAAGGCAGATTGTGAATTTGTGATGCTTCACATTACTTTTTCTTAGGCTTATATATATTATGATCTCCTTCCTTTGCATTTGTCCATGTGTTGTGTACATGAGAGTTGAACCATTCCAGTTTTTAATCACGACATTATCAATTTACTGCAGGTGAAGAACCTCCTGAATCGTTGTTTATGAAAGAATTAAAGAGGAGGGGCATGACTCCCACTTCATTGCTTGAGGACACAAAAAAGGGCACCTACGACAATGGATTAGAAGAAGAGAGGGGTTTCTCGAAAAGAAATGCAGTCTCTACTGAACCAGGAAATAATTTAACCAACCAAAGGGAGCAGTCCATGGCATTGAACAGTGAGGGCCTCGAGGTTGGCAAATTCAAGCTCTTTTTTCTTTTTGTTATCAAGTTCCAACTTTTGTAGCTCAAACCTTAAATAATGAGCTTTGACAGTTTTTCTCCCCCTTGTTCTGGCTCATGCGACGTGCATTCAAGAAATTGAAATTACATATATATTCTTGGCAGGGACTGATTCCACGGGCTAAACTTTTGTTAACACTTGGAGGGACTTTCTTCTTGGGGTTTTGGCCACTGATTCTTATAACTGTTGCATCCTTTTCTGCTCTGTACCTCGTAAGCTACCTTTCTTGGCCTTCCTGCTGTACATGTGACTTCCATTAGATTGCCACTGGCCAGACACTTATTATACTATGAGACCCAATTCTGTGGAATATCGTTTTCTAGCTGATTTGTCTGTGCCTAACATTATAGCAATTTGCCAGACACTTAATATGCTATTGAGAACCGATCCTGTGGAATTTTATTTCTCTCGCCGACTTGTCAGTGCCTAACATCGTAGCGATTTCAGCACATAAGTCCATGAATAATATTCTAAATCTCTTTTGTTGAAATTGATATAATGCCTAGGACGTTGTCTCAGTCTAAAAATGCTGTGGCACTTACGTTTGTTCGAGTCGCCAGGAAAATATGCATGAAATGAACAGTCACTTGCTCTATCATTTGCGGTATTTTCTTGTCCTTTGGATTATGATATTGATGTACGTATAAGTGGATAGTACAAAGGTATGGACTCAGCAATGTTTTAGCATCATTTAAACTTCACAGCATTTGCTCAGGCTTATTCCTATTCAATTTTCTGTCTAGTGCCGTCTCTTCGGAACTCTTGACTCCGTTTTGATTTGGAAGCACTTTGCAAAAATTCCGGGATCTAAATGGTAATACCCCTCTGTTTATTTGACAGTATTTTGGACCGACTTTTGTTCATGATGGAAGCAATGTGCGAGTGTCGCCACCCCAGTACAACGATCCATATGCACTTCTCGAAGACGAAAGAATATCCCAAATGGCTCCTCGAGTTAATTGAAGCAGAAAACGTCATCACTCGAGCCAATTCATTGAAGATCTCTGCTGCAACTTGCTACCCTGGCTTATGTTTATGTCCATGTATATCCTTAATCAGATAGAACCTGCGTTGCCCTGGTGTTGGTCGCCGGTTGGCTCGTTATCTTCATGCAATTGCTTGAAAGATGTAATTGCTACTCATATTGCTGTATTCAATTGGTTATATGTTCCAGATGAAGCAGGTCGCTGAGACTGTTTCTTGTAAACACATAATTTGAATCATTTAAACGTGCAATGTCTCGACACTAGACGGCACCACGGGTAGCCGATGCCTTAGTTTCAGCCGTAAGCTCAAGCCATACACACATGGTAATACTAATTATAATCTATTAGGTCAATCACACGACATGAGTCGTAGGATGCAATCGAGTGCCTCTTAACAATGACTTTATACGTATACATTGTTTAGCTGGAATTGAATAAGAACTCGTTAATGATCAAGTCAGCTCTAATTAACTTCATGGCCGGGAAAGGAAAAACTTTGATCAACTCTGTTCTGCCAAGAGAAACTCTAATCAACTCTATTGAAACAAGAAAGTAGTTGTCAAGAACACACAACTTCATGTACAATGGATTAGTCAGTATTGGTAGGTAACATGGAAAGCGAAGACTCCTGTAAAAACTAAAATTGACAGTATAACTCCAACCTTTGTCAAAGTTCAATCAATCCTCATCTTCCTAAGGGCTAAGCACCCAATTCTATCTTTACAGCAACCATTTCATAATACCACAAGTGGTACACTATGTCGGCAGCTATCGCGCGAGGGTCATCGAGATCTGCTCAAATCCCTACTCACATCACCAGTTAATCCTCCCTGATTGCATTCAGGGTAAGAGTTGAACTTGACAAAATGGCTGTCTGAAAGGAGGAGGAACCGAGAGTCCAGTTAAGCGATCACAATCACCGCCTGTAATTCCTCAAGCAATAAGGTACCGAGACCCCTTCAAATTCTACAAGGGGAAGGCCTGTCCAGTAGCGAAGGTGTCTGAAACCAATTGCTCTCCGTCTTCTCTTCTTCTTCGCCGTCCACGACCGTGCGAAACGCTGCTTCCAATTGAACATCCCTCCGCCTTTTGCCGTCCGCCCTCCAAACTCCTCCACGTACTTTTGCTCCCACAAGTCATCATTGGATGTCAAATCCCGAAGTTCCGAACACGCGCATCCTACCCTCGCGAGGCCAATGCCGGGAAGCGATTCGAAAATCTTGAGCTTCAGTTCCGCGGGAAGGTGTGCGAAACAGGACGGGACCGGCAAGCCAGCCCTTTCGGCTAGGTCTATCAAGAGCGGCAATGCCAAGCCATCTTTCACAAGCATCGAAAACTCGAACACTTCTTTCAGGGGATACGAGGTCGAAGAACCACCATCCTCATTCGCTTCCACCTCATCGTCGTCGTCATCGCCTTTTGCCCTGATCAAGTCTATAGCAGGAGCAAACCTGCGCTCATCCAAACAGACCCTACGCAAACCCAGCTTGGCTTTGGCTAGAATTCCATAGACAGTGATGAAATGACCAAGGCTCTGAAACTTCAAAAGCACCCGCTCGGACATGTTCAGACCCTGCTCCCGAGCCACGAGCTCAGGCAGGCTGTACCACAAGGACATGGCGAACGCCGTCGACGGCGGCCGCTGATCGGCGGGCATTCTGGTCGCCGGGTCAACCGCGACAAAGCCGGACTCCTGCATAACCGCGTGCACCGCCGCGACTAGAAGCCTATGCCCACCACCGTCGCCGCCGCCGCCGCCCAATTCCTCTCTCAAAATCCTCCTAAGAAGTACGTAAGGCTCCGAGAACTTACCGCGGACCACAGCCGACCCATCCGCAGCGCCATCGAGATCAACACTTCCGGAAGAAGAATTACGTCGACCCTCGGCGCTTGTCGGAGCATCGGCTTTCTTCTGTCCATCTCCAGGAACCAAATCGGTCATCTCCGAATCCGCCGCCGCTGCCGCCGCCGCCGCCGCCTCCTCCTCCGCCGCCTCCTCAGGCCGCCGTCCTAAACCGGGGCAACTCTCAGAATCCATGCCCTCGGTGCCCTTGAGGAGAGACTCGATCCGATCCGATCCGATGCTTCCTGCAAAACACGAATGGTGCGTGTCAACGAAGGGTCGATACCACGAAAACTTTGGTAAATTTATAATAAATTTACCTAAACTAATTTTTTTATCAATAAAAATCTTAAAATTAATACTCTCGTAATAAATTTACCCTCTATTAATTTTTGTTAATTTTAATATTAAATTGCCCAGTTGGATAATACGTGTACTAATTTAGGATTTTACCCCTCCGTTTGTCACAAATTTATCAATTTGTGATTTTTCGCGGTATTAATCCAATTTGACGGAGGATAAATTTGTCACAAGTGTACCAATTTTGGGTTTTCGGTAGTCAAAAAATTAGTTTAGGATAAATTTATCACATGTGTAACGGTTTAGGTTTTTTGTGGTTAAAAAATTAGTTCGGAATAAAAAAATATACGAATTTGAAGTTTTTTCCTGATATTAACCCCGTCAAACAATCATGTAAAACATTGCCACGAATACCTCCTAATATACAACGTTTGCGATTCCCGTGCTAAAAACTAAAGCCCACCTCTTCTTATACATAAAAATACTCTAAAATTTCAAATTCGAGAGTATTCTCAACGTTACTCATAGCCGCTCGAGCTTCATCGAGCTCGCGGTATTCGCGGGCTCTTCTCCATCTTCTCCTTCACCCGATCGAAGCATGTTCCGAGTCTTTAGCAATCGGAACATCCGTTTGAACATGGGCAATTGTTTCGGAGAGTCCCTATAATGATAATACGAGACCATGAGAGACCATGTTTCTGCACACCCCATCAGCGAGCTTGGCGCCAAGGTTCTCCGAGCTCGGTCTCGGGTGCTCGACGAGGCTCGAGGCTGCCCGCACGCATGGCGATTGAGATATTCGGGCATATCGCAGACACAGTCTCCGAGCGTGAGTGGTTTGTATCAAGAAAGGGCTGCAACGGGTGTGGGTTGAATCTGGTGTTCTTCGCCATTACGCGCGATGCCTAGTTCCTTGTCACGGTCGACCGACCCCCCGTTTCATCGCCGCTTCACGATTCACTGCGGATCCTGCGATTTCATATTTATACCTTCGGCGTTGTGTTTTCCAGACCCCTGCAACTATCCATCACACAGACCCCATCACGAGCTCTCTCTCTCTCTCTCTCTCACACACACACATGACTCACAAGCTCAGCGAATCTCACGCTCAGCGAATCTCACGCAAGAAATAACATACTTTTACTTCTATCAAGCATAAAAACAAACACTCGGCGTGCAAACTCAGAAAGCCAATGTATGCTCAAGGAGAACACCTTCGGGCATGTTTGGTTTAGCATTTGAAATTCTCATTTGGGCTCTAAAGTCCATTGAACAAATATAAATGACGTTTGGCAATTTTTTTGGAACACTTTGGGGAAATACAATTGCATATCCAAAGACTTCTAAAGTCCTTTAGCCCAAGGCAGGTCTGGAGGCACTTTGACAAGTTGTATTTTCAGAATGCAAGGTGCACTGTTCATGCGCACTGTTCATCTTCCCGGGGAACCAAATCGGAGATCGGCCACGGCCGCCTGAGGGGTTGGTCGACCTCCGGCAACCGCCGCTTGGGGGTCGCCCGACCCCGACGACCGGTGGCCGGACCCACGCAACCCAGGCGATGCCTAGGTCAAGCGACCTTAGGCCGCCTCGCTTGAGGTTGCGCGACCCAGGCGACATCGCCTTGCCTGAGGTTGTGCGACCTAGGCGAGGCTGGCCGTTGGCGGTTGGCCGACGGCCTACTAGCGATGGCTGAGTTCTTTGCTAATTTGTTTTTTTTTAAATATTAGCAAAAGTCCTTTACAAAATTAGTTTTTACTAAACGGTATTTAGACCAAAGTTGCTTTCAAACATGATTTTAAAATACATATTACCAAACACTACTTGTATTTCGAAAAACCCTTTTAACTCAAAGGCCTTTGCATTTTGCCAAAGGCATTCCCCAAAGCCAAACCAAACAGGCTCGAAATAGACCTTGCACAAACACCGAATCTCGGCTAACCGGTGCAAGGAGAACACGTGACTACAAGCTAACGCCGAAATCACCGATCCACGAAAACATCAGAGCAAATTCATATGGGAATATGCTAGTAACTCATCGTCCCAAAAAGAAAACTGAAGTAAGGAACAAATCTCGTTCACCTGCCATGCTCTTTGAAACCAAGTACTACCAATCTCATCCGTGACCAAAAACTCAATTGGCATGTTCTAAAGGCAAAGCCCTTTTTCACTTCTCTTTGTTTATACGAAATATAGAACAACACCAAAATAAAAGTTCAAAGAAAAATGGAAATCCACCATCACGTGGATCGAAAGTGGGTTTCAATAACATATCCATTTAGACTCACTTCTTTTGGACTTTTTGAGCTGATCATTTATGAGCCACTTAAATAAATATGGGTTAAAATATGGGTTAGCGACCCATATTGACAGTTCCAGCCAAGCGCAAGTGTTCCCACCCCAGTACATTGATCCATTTGTGCTTCTCGAAGACGACGGAAGAATATCCCAAACAGCTCCTCGAATTAATTTGAAGCAGAAAATGTCAGTCGCTCGAGGCAATTCATCGAAGATCTCTGTTGCAACTTGCTACACGTAACCTTCGATGCTCTTGTGTTGGTTGCCGGTTGGCTTGTTATCTTCATGCAATTGCTTGAAAGATGTAATTGCCACTCATATTGCTGTGTTCAATTGGTTATATGTCCCGGATGAAGCAGGCTGCTCAGTTTGTTTCTTGTATATACTTACATCTAATCACGTAAATGTGCAACATCATACCACCAGATAGCACCACTGGTCTCTGATGTCTAAATTTCGGCCGTAAGCGCAAGCTATGTACGCATGGTAATACCGATTTTAATCCATTAGGTCGATAATATGACATGAATCGTACGATGCAATCAAGCGCCTCTTAAGAATGAAATCAAGTCAGCTTTAATTAACTTCATGGCCGGGAAAGGCAAAGCTTTAATCAACTTTATTCTGCCAAGAGAACCTCTAATCAACTTTTATTGAAACAAGCAAGTAGTTGTCAAGAACACACAACTTCATGTACAACGGAGTAGTCGGTATTGGTAACATGGAAAGCGAGACTTCTGTAAAACTAAATTGGCAGTAGAACACATCCTCATCGTGCTAAGTGCTAAGCACCCAATTCTATCTTTATAGCAATCATTTCATATACACGTCCAGTGCCACAATATCTCAGCAGCCATTGCGCGACAGTCTTCGAGATCTATTCAAATCTTTCGGCAAGAGTTGAGCTTCACGAAATGGCTGTCTGAAGAGAGGTGGAACACAGGACCAGATAAGCGATCCATTATCATTGACTATAATTCTGGAGACCATGAAGCCTTCGTAACCTTGCCAGTTCACTGGCAAAGGCGTCTGCGACCAACTGAGCGTCTTCTCTTCTTTTTCACCTCTGAGCTTCTCGGTCTGCTCTTCTTGTTCGCCTCCGAAGATGGCGTCTGTGACTATCTGAGTATCCCCCTCTTCGCTTCTTCCACGACCGTGCGAAACGCTGCTTCCAATCGATCATCCCTTGGCTTTCTGTCGTCTTCTTTTTAAACTCATCCATGTACTTCTGCTTCCACAAGTCATTACTGGATGTCAAATACCGAAGTTCCGAACACACACACCCTACCCTTGCTAGGTCAATGCCAGAGAGCGATTCGAAAATCTTGAGCTTCAGTTCCGTGGGAACGTACGTGAAATAAGACGGGAGCGACAAACCAACACTTTCGGTTAGGTCTAGTAACAGCGGCAATGCCAAGTAATCTTTCACAATCCTCCAGAACTCGAACATTCTTTTTACGGGATATGAACTCCAAAAGCCACCATTATCATCCGCTTCCATATCATTATTGTCATCGCCTTTCGCCCACATCCGCATCAACTCGACAGCAGGAGCAAAGCTGCGCATATCCAAACAACAGACCCTGGGCAAACCCGCCAAGACGCTAGGCAAACCCAAGTTGGCATTAGCCAAAGATCCGTAGACAGTGATGAAATGACCTGGGCTCTGAAACGTCAAAGTTACACTCTCGGGCATGTTCAGACCCTGGCTCCTAGCCACAAGCTCAGGCAGACTATACCGCAACGAAACCGGATTCCTGCATAACCGATCAGCAGCAGGCATTCCGGTCGCTGGCGGATCAAGCGCAACGAAACCGGATTCCTGCATAACCGCGTGCACCGCCATGACTATAAGCTTACCACCGTTCTTACCCAACTCCTCTTTCAAAATCCTCTCCGTCAAGACCCTCTTGAAAAGAAAGTAAGGCTCGGATAACTTGGTGCGAATCACAACCGGCCCATCCACGGTGAGAACGCCAGCACTTCCAGAAGAAGAATTACCTCGACCCTTGGCGCTGCTTCCCGAAGCTTCGACTTGCTGTCCATCTTCAGGAACCAAATGGGTCATCTCCGAATCCACAGCCCCCTCATCCTCAGGCCGCCCTCCTAAACCGGGGCAATCTTCAGAATCCATGACCCCTCGTGTCCTCGAGAGAAGACCTGATCCAATGCTTCCTGTAAAGGAATTGGGGTTCGAGAGGAGGCTATGATCTCACCAGGAAAGGATGCGAGGCCGAGAGATCGGAGAGAACCGGTGGAGTCCGGTGACTGAAGCTCCGTCCGTGGCGGTTGAGAGAGAGGCGGGAGGAGGAGAGTGTTGAGTGGCAATCGGCATGTCATCAGTATCACTATTATATTTCGCCTCCAAGGGGTTCTACTTTGTAGAAAGCGAAAATGACACAAAGGCTTTCATTAATTTTGACTCAATATATAACGTGGCTTCTTGAACTTTTTAATCTGCGACTACAAAAACTTGTTTTTCCGAGTAAATTTCAACGAAAAATTTGGAAAAATTCGCTGAAATCGAATTTCCAAACCAAAAAATTGAACGGTTGGTAATCAAGTCGGGAATTCTTCCAACGAAAAATTTCAATTTTCGTGGAAATTTGTGATAAATTTTTTCGTTGGAAAATTCGTTGGAAAATCCTGTGGCTGAATTAGTTGGAAACGAATTTTTTTCCGACAATTTTTTTCGTTGGAAATTACAAATTTTTTTTTTTTTGGTCGAAGTTAAAATCGTGGAAATTTTTTTTTCCATCGAGAAAGAATTTCTTTTGGTCAAAATTTTTTTTTTGATCGAAAAATAGCCCTCGTCGCCCGGCGAGGGCCGCCGTCGCCGGCGAGGGGCTGGGGCTCGTCGCCGCAAGGGCCCGCCTCGTCACCGGGCGAGGGCTAGCCTACGTCAGCCGTTGCGAGGGCCGAGCTTCCGCCGGCCATGGCGAGCTCGGCCCTCGCTATGGCAGCGGCGAAGGCAAGCCATCAGTCGTTGGCGAGGCCGAGCGCCTGGATCTCGAGGCGAAAGCCCGAGCTCGCCGACCATGGCGAGGCTCCGGCCCTCACCATGGCCGAAGATGAAGAAGAAGCAAAGAAGCAGCAGCTAGGCTGGAGTGTGTTTCGCTGGCCGCCGCTCAGGTCAAGTCCGATCGTGCGCCTCCTAGCTCCCGCCGGCCATGGCGTAGCCGAGCTCGCCATGGTCGGCGAGGGCTCGAGCTCGCCATGGCCGGCGAGCTCCGCCGGCCTCGCGCCGGGCGACTGAGGCCTTGGTGGCGTCGGGGGTGGCTCTGGGCCGTCGCTTGGGAAGGCCGAGGCTTGAGGCAATCATGGAGCGCCGTGAGTCTGAGGAGGAGTGGGGGGCTGGGGAGGCTGTGAGGGGGAGACTCGGGAGGAGAGAGGTGAAGGCGAAGGAGAGAGAGAGAGAGAGAGAGTGAATGTGGAAATTGAAAGTTGTGGGAATAACGAGCGAAAAATAAGGAACAAATATGCAAAATTCGTGGGAAATTTCCCACGAAGATTTGCAGAAACGAAAATCAGTACACACTAAAATAATTTGTCTGAAAAATTGAAATTCGTTGGAAATTTCAACGAATTGGTTTAGTATACACACGGAAAGTAATCGGCTAGGAAAATTGAAATTCGTTGAAATTTTCAACGATTTTCCAACGAATATAAAAAATAATTTTAATAGTACGTGGCTTTTTTTCGTTGCTAGACTCATTGGAAATTTCAACGAATTTTCCTAGCGAATATCAAAATGCTTGAACAAGATGCTTGGTTTTTGTAATTCGTTGGAAAATTAAGCTGGAAATTTCCAACTAAAAATTGTAAACACTTTGAAATAATGAGCCCGGAAAATGGAAATTCGTTGGAAAATTAGTTGGAAATTTCCAACTAATTTTTCCAACGAATATAAAAATGCCGAACAATGCGGGTTTTTTTGAATTCGCCGCAAAATTTGTTGAAAATTTCCAATCTTAATTTTTTTTCGTTGGAAATTTCCAACTTTGAACTTTGCGACGAATAGTTTTTGTTGGAAATTTCCAACGGAATTTGCGACTAAAAATTTTTCGTTGGAAATTTCCAACGAATTTTACTTTTTGTTGGAAAATTTGTCGCAAATTTGCAACGAAATTTTTTCGATTGCAAATTTTAGGTGGCAAAAATCCAGTTTTTTTGTAGTGTTGTTCTAATCGTAGTCGAAAAACTTTAACCCAATATAAAAATATAGCCTCTGAACTTTTAATTTGTTCAATGTCGTCTCCGAACTTTTGGTACATATTCAATTTAGTCTATGAACTAAATAAAAATGTTAAATGTAATTTAGGGACTACGTTGAATAGATACCATTAAAAGTTTAGGGACCATATTGAATATTAGGTACAATTTCAGGGACTATATTGAACAAATTAAAAGTTCATGGACCACATTGCTTATTCGATCAAAGTTTAAGGACTATTTGTGTCATTATCCCTTATAGAAAATCAATTAAATCATCCATAAAGACCTAGCGTGGCAAATGAATACTCTGCTAAACAAGAACCGTGCTTACGAAACAACCATTTAGATAGTTGCCATGAACACCTCCTAATATACAAGCATCTTAGGAGATGTTTTACGACTATATTTATTAGTTTTAAAACACTTGCGATAAGCCCACCTCTTGTACATAAAAAGGATCCAAAATAGAAAATTCCTTTTAAGGAGACCATATTCAAATTAGAAAACCACCGAAACTGGAAAACTAGTTCAAATAAGGAAATTTCACGAATTCAAACTCCAGAGATATTATCAACAGAGAAATGATTAGATGACAGTTTTTAATCTATTGTAAAAATAACAATTTGTTTGGGATAAAAAAAATCAAATAATAAATAATTATAAGTTATTGTGAGGTCCATTCTTTTAAAAATTTGTGGTTCACAATAAACTGTTATTCTTATAATAACTCAAAAACTGTTTTGCTAGTAAAACCTTTATTAATATTAGTTATGGCCGCTGGCCATGGGCTATGGAGTACATCGTATGGGTGAATGATCCAAATCACGGACTAAGCAACCAACGGAAGGTAAATTTGGATGGATGATCACAATTTTTCAAAGTGCATTTGGTATTGACGACTTTATACTATTGCCTAAGTAGCTTTTGAGTGCGTTCGTACGCTTTATAGCGAATGCGATGATGCAGCACGCACTTGCTATAATATTTGTATCTTAAAAGAAAAAAGTTAGTGGTGGGGCCTAAAAGAAAAAGAAAAAACAGAAGAAGAATGACTAGACTTGGTTAATAAAGCAGCAACTGCATTTTAAAATTGAGAGCTCGCACAAGCGGAAAGAAAAGGAAAGAGGGAGGAAAAGGGAAAGAAAAAGAAAAAGGAGAGAGATGGCTGTACGTACTCTTGTCATGGAAGTTTCGTCAAGCCATATTTACTTTGTATTGCATCACCAAATAAGTGCTCACGTCCCTCATTTGTCCAATTGAAGTGATTTTTGAAGTTATGATTTGAATTCGGAATTATGTGAGATTCAAGTCGCAAAGTCCAAGTTGCTGAGCTATGGAATTTAATGGAAATAGTGATTTATGGCATTATGGAGCCGTTCGATGGGAGTTGTTTTGAAACAACAGTTTGGCTGGAGTGAGAATTTTAGGGTTTCGGGTGCGAGCTTCGCATTGCAAACAACTTGAATAATCGCTTCAGGTGTGCAATTTGTTGGCGGATGAGTTGTTTTGTTAGTTTAGCCGATTCATAGTTGTTATAGTATTTTACTTGATTTTGACGTCGATTCTCGTTTAATTGTTAAGATTACGAAAGGGTCGGCTCGTGTGTTATTGGTTTTTGGTATTCACAGGTGAGTGGTGTTTTGTCACGAGGCCTTGAGTTGTGACCATGGTAGTTAGGGGTAAGCATTGTTCCACCCTAGAACCGGAAACCGCCCACTAAATATCGGTTCCAAAAAATTGGAACTGGGAACCGTCCGTTAGTTCTATGGACCCACCTGGGAATCGGACCACCGGATCGGTCCAGTTCCCGAGTGGGTCCACGGAACCGGTCCTACCAAGTTTCCTTGGAAAAATCAGAAAATGCATCAATCTAATCCCCACCCGATAGGGGTTGTGCTCACCACACGCCACTTCCACTTTGACCTTAATGCACGTGTATGATGTATCTTCAGTGTACATAATTGTCCTTTCGCATTTGATTTCACCAATTCTTTCTTGTCCAAGTGACAAATGAGCCTTCCATCTAAAATGGTCTGATGCAGAAGTCATAGTAAAAATGCCCCTTCAAGATTTTCTCTGCCATCACCCCTTTATTCCTAGTAACCTGCCAGTACGTACAACCCTCCGAATAAGACACCTAATTACATATCCTCTTCCAATGTTTGACGGGATCACTCCGTCCTAGATGAGATATACAATTGCCCGCATATGGTCCCCTATGATCTGCGAAATAACCACATGTATGAGGATCATTAGCACTCCTTGAAGAAAAAGATGATCACCATCCTGATAATTACTTCAAAAGACTAAATGACACTTAAAAATTGCTACTGATACAAACTTTGAGCTTCGAGTATTAAGCGTCTCGTGCGTTTAGGGTATTAGGATTTCTCTTTTTGTAAATAAAAATTAAATAAATATATAATATATTATTACATTACCGGTTCGGTCTGGGTGGACGGTTCCACACCTGAAACCGGGAACCAGACTGGTATCCATCAATTCCAATTTATTGGAACCGGGAACCCGACCGCTTCCTTTAGTAACCACCGGTTCTGGGCCGGTCCAGTCCGGTTCCGGGTGGTTCAGGCAGTTCTCGATTCTTTTGCACACCCCTAATGATAGTATATTGAGCAATAGATTAGTCAATGGTATGGATCATTGACGTGATTTTTATGGAAATTGATCAATAGACTTGACTTGTTGAAATACAACTCTTATGTGATTCGATATGCATTTTATACCTTGAATTGGGGTTATGAAGTTCTGGTATTGCTTTGTATACATACATAATGGTTGCTCGATCTACTTAGAAAGATATGTATTACTCACTGGGCTGTGGTTGCTCAGCTCTTTCTTTCCCAATCTTTTTAGGTTCCTCGGCTAGCGGCTGCTATCGCGAGGACTTTTTGGGAGTTACACGTATGGTTGTTTATAGTTTGTTGGATTGGCTGAGTTCTAGTTGTACATATTCTTTTTGGTGGATTATATAAACTCAGATGTTGTAATCAATTGGTTTATATATATATAATAGGTTGTTGGTTATGCTGCGTTCTTCGTGTGGAAGAACGGCCATATCATCCCCTTTCTAGTTGAAAGGGCGTGA